GAGTTAAGTGGTGACACAATGAAACTTGGACTATCTATGATCGTGATCTGTTTGTCCAAGGGAACAGCCTGCATATTCCTAAAATAAAAGAGATGCAATTATTTGGGCACTGGTTTATCTGCAAGACAAGATGTAGAATGTGAAGCTCAGGGTTGGATTGAACAAACTCAACACAGCGAGTCAGATCCAATTCATCATCATTTGCTTCATGGGTATCTAAAACTGTAACAGGATATCCACCCCTTTAGAAGAAAAGCTACATGTTATAGCTTCTTCATCTACCTAACAAATGGCTATTTCCTCTACCATAATAATATCTTACCTGAAAAGCTTCTGTTCACTTCTCAAAGCTAAGGCCAAGTTTAAGAAAAACATTTTGTCAGAGGTAGTTTTCCTTTTTTCTCAGTCTAATTTGTCTTTTAAACTAAACTGTGGATAACTATCCCACTCCAATTTTCCTCCAAGCCTACTCTACCACTGTGGGCTTGAGAACCCTTTTCCTTCCACTGGCAGCTTAAAGAAAGAATAAAACATTAGCTTAGGATAATGAAAATAAAATATTTACTGATCTATAATAAAATACTTCAACTATACCATAGTCTGGTTTACCTTGTAAGCCCCATGGATATACCAACATTGCATACTCGTTCTTGTTTTAAGCTATTAATGATGCTGCTTTTCCCCACATTTGGGAAACCTACAAAAACAAAAAGGGAGAAATTCACAGATATGGTATGTAACGTGCTGGCAATCATAAAATTTCACTGCCCTATTTTATGTCTGCCTGATGTTTCATAAAGTATCAGAGTTGAATCTTAAGTGTCTAAACTTGAACACTAAGTCACAGTTAAGCCTCATTTCATACATGTTGGGCAAGTGCTCTACCACTGAGCCACACCCCCCAGCTACCAAGGGCTATTAGAATTCAACTTCCTGTAGTGCCCAGTCTTTTTAAGGAACTGAATCTGGCAGCAATTAAAAGTTTTTAAATTGTATCGGTGTCTGATGTGGCGAAGGAGACAAGAGCAAAGCTCTGAACAAGCCTTCTGTTTCATGATAATCTTGTTCTTAGGCAAAAATTCTGGGTTAAGTATCTTGACACTTAAAAGAAGTAGAATTTGATAAACTGAAACTCACCAATTACTCCAACCTGGATAGGTTTGCTGTA